ACACACACACACACACACACACACACACACACACACACACACACACCATTTGGTCCCTGTCCTGCCTCCTGTTTTACCCCCCCCTGTGCTGGATTACCCCTTCAGTATTTACATCTTGCAAATCCAGTGGGCAGACTCTGATAGGGGCCATCTGTAATCTGAAGGTTATATTTGTGGCGTGTGTGTATCAACATGCTCGTGTACATGTATGGGCCTGTAATTTGTCCCTGCTCAGCGCAGGGACGGTATCAGTGTCTGCGACATCTGTTCAACACGGGGTCTATACAGCAGATCTGAGCACATGCTCTGCACAACACACATGCACACACACACACTTTTTATATTTGTAAGGTACACAGTTAGCTTATACACATGAAATTGGTGTGTTCTATGTCCACTAAGGAGGACTGGACAGATTTTTGCAGGGTGAGGTTTGTAGGTCGGAGAAGGACACAAAGTTTCAACTCAGGCCAGGAACCTTTGTTTCATATAATCTGTCTCTGTTTTTACCCGAAGCCATTTGTTAAATCTGAAGGATGTAATGATCCAATGGGTTGAAAATGCTATAAACAACTCCACCAATTTACTGCTTTAAAACTTAGAACTTAGTATCATAACATTTAGTTCCCAGTATGAGTCAACATTCCAAATTGTATGTGTGAGAGTAAGGGGGCTAGGTCTCTATATGCTGGCCCTGCGACACGCTGGCGATGACTCGTCCAGAGTTTGCTCCGCCTCATGGCCCCCCTGCGACCCTCAAAAAGATAAGTTAATAGGATAATGAAAGGGTGGATGTATTAGACCCACCTCTCAAACCCAACGCCTCCAGACTATGACTCAGATTTCACATAGATATTTCGAGCATTCCTCGAGATAATTAATATTATTTTTTTAGGACTTTGGAAAGCTCCTCCAGGGCCAGAAGAAACTATACAAGCGTTTTCACAGGCTGGGAAGCACTCAGCATAAGTACACTGACATTTGTTTTGAAGAAAAAACTTCTCTACAGTTGCAGAATACATCTTCATTTGTAAAATCAGTGGCTATTTAATGAGCATAATCTCATTACAGTTTATTTTGTTTGCAGGGATTTGCTGTTATTTCATTGTGCATTTAAGTGAGTGTTCCTCTGCACATGAGCACACATGTTTACACACATCTGTCCATGGTCAGACAGGTCGTGCAGGGGCGGTGTAGAGAGGAAAGGCTCTGGGGCTAAATATTGGAACTTAAACGACCAGTATTTCTCACCGATGATGACAACAACCCCAGAGGGATCTATGCAGACAAGGAGAACAAAAAGACTAAAATGGATATACAGCTCACCCGTTGGGAGGGATGGATGTGCCGAAGATGAAGTGATGATCATCTCCCGTCCCTGCTAAAATGAAATATGATGGCGAGGGAGCACGGTGCCATTTCCTGCCTGGCACAGGAAGCGCCCATCTGGAGTTGAGTGCTGTCTGTCCTCTGTTGCTGTGTCGGGCGACATTGTAATAGCTCTTGTCACTGCTGTTGCCGTTCTCAGTGCCGTTATTATTTCTGAAGCACCGAGAGGCCCCGACAGGTCAGCTGAGAGGAGGGAAAAGAAATATTCATAGTTGGACGGTGTCTGAGGAGAGAACTGGTAAAAAAGGGACAATAAGTGCAATACGTGAGGAGTATGTCATTTAAACTGGGACAGTAATAGAGTCTATAGGAGGAAGAGCAGTGAGATGCATGCTGGCAGCTGCCCGTACAACTGTCACATCCTCGCCGCCAGAAAAGCAGAAGGAAGCCACTCGTCATCACCGTGACAACCAACGCGTGACAAGAGGAGGGAGGAAACGTATCCATCAAGAAATGATGCAGGGATGAGTGCACTTAGTCGTCTTTCTGTGCACACACACTTCCTTCATATTTCATTGGGTCATCAAAAGCAGAGAGAAAATCTCTCACTGAATCTGATGCTTTCTCCACTCAGCGACATAATAATGTACTTTCCTCATAATGAAGTGAGCGTAACCCCCCATAGGGCTAATGTTTAAAGCACACAAACAAACTGAAAGCACTGGAGGATGGAGAACAGCAATTCAAGTGTGACACACACAAAAAAAAACACACCCCAGAGCCAGACTGTCTCACTGACGCTGGAAGCAAGTGTCTGGTTTTAGCTGAAGACAAAAGCGTGAATTTATTTGAATAAGGAAATTAACCTATAAAGCAGAAAATAGTCTTAATCATCGAAATGTAGAGATTTTATAACACTTAAGCAAAGATGCTGACTGTGACTAAAACTGGATTAATATCACTCAGCTTAATTAAAAATCAAAAACGCTTGTTGTGCTGTACATATCTAAATATTTCTGCAAGGTAAGTATTTCTGCTGTAAACTAACAATTTCTTTTTAATCTTCCAGTTTGCTGCAAAACCTGCCTGATGGATATTTCATTAACGGTCTAGTTTTAGGAACACACCTGGTAGTCACCCCGTATCAAGGAGCTAAAATTGCAGACTGATGGTTGGGGATCACAAAAGATCAATTGTGCGTTCTGAGGCTTTGGGGCATGAACAAATAGAAAGAGCTGGAAACTATGGGTACTGAGCACCACCCAGTGGTTGGTCATTTGTTCAGGCCTGTTGGTGCTCAGGAAAATGGTAATGCAATGCAAATGCATGAAGCTGGTATGTATTTTACATGATGACATAGAACTAAGGGGATACACATATTCTGCCCAGGTATAAGAACGCAAACAACTCTTTGATTGGGGTTTATCTTTATGGATTTCTTTATGTTTATTTTATGTTATAATCTTTGACTTAACATAAGATAAAATAATTCATCAGTCCCAC